GGCTTAGGGGGTGGTCCCCCCCTAAGCTGGCCCCCCCCCTCGCTGTTGCAGGGCTGCTCCCCATCTTTCCCCTCCCAGGATGCTCCCCAGCAGCAGGAGTCAAACCCTGAGCCAGCACCTTGTCCCCTCCATCGCTCCTGTCCCTGCCACCCCCAGCTGGGATGCTGGGCAACGTGGTGGCAGAGACCTCAGTGATGGGAGGGGAATGTTTCCCAATAACTCCATGTCCCACTTCCACCCTGACCACATCTCCTCCTGACCACCAGCTTGCCCCCTTTAGTGCCCCCTGCTCTGCCATCCTGGGCAGTGGGGGGGATGACGGGGCTGGTCGCCCCTGGTGCAGAAGACCACGTCTCCATGAAGGCTTGGCCCGAAAGCCCCTGGTGTGGGGCGGGCCTGGCCTGATCCTGCCAGACACGGAGCAGCTCTTCAGTGCATTCAAGCTGCCTGTGGTCCCAGAGCAGAGACGTGCTCCTCTCCCGGCCGGGGATGGCCAGCCCCTCACCCCCCCAACATAGAAACACCAAATAAAGGCTCTGCAAAACAAACAGCCCCACTTCTTGGCCAGGGTGGGGGGAAAGAGTTGGGGGGAACAGAGACCAGCCTGGGGTAGATGGTGCCCCCCAGGTGCCCTAGAGGGTGCCTGGGGATACCAGCGGGGTGGGATGGCTCCCAGCTAGAGAAAAACTCACATTTTTTTTCAGGGCAACTGCAAACGTGGATTTACCACCACAGCCTAGTGTTGAGGGAGATGTTGGGGGGGGGGGGTGTGTGTGTCAGTGCAGAGCACGGGGACAGGGTGTGGGGAAAAAAGAGGCTGGGAGCAGGGACCAGTCATTATTCCTCCTGCTGTCATGCGACAGCCACGCTTACAGAAATAGGGTTGATTTGTGGTTTTTGTGTTGGGTGGTTTTTTTCCCCTCCCTTCCAGACTTGTTTTCCTGGAGCAAGATTGGCTCCGTGCATTTGAGAGGCCGGCCCCGAGGCCCTTCCTGCAGGAAAAGGCTGAGGGAGGAGCAGGAGCAGAGGTTTCCCTGCCCCAGCAAAGGCAGTGGGGTGGTGGGGCAGGAGAGAGGAGGGCGAGGGGCTGAGCCCAGCGCCCAGAGGGAAGTGGGGGGCATCACTTAGGGCAATAGATCCTGGGGTGCCCACACAGGGGTTGGGTTCCCCATTTCTCACTCTAGCCCCCATGGCATGCACCTGAGCACGTGGGGACCGGTGGCCCTGGCATCCCTCCCCCAGAGGAAGCCGCTTTCAGGATAAAAGGAG